TATGTTTCAAATTTATTGTGTATTTTTGAATGAAATAGACAAAAATTAAAATATCGCTATTCTGATTAAATCACTAATAACGTGAAGTTCAGTGTACTTAAGTTTTAATCTTTAAAATCTAAGTTTAATTTTGCTGGACACATATACACACATTTTTTCAATGTAAGACCCTTTCATTCAGGAAAGGGAATAAATAATATGGGCAATAGGATATATTCTGTTAGAATAAATAGTATCTTTTTGGCGAAATATTTCCGTACAGTGCTGCGTCTATTCATGAATTTATAACCAGAATAGCATCGACCATTTCCGAATTGTATGAAATTTTCAGCTTTTGTAGGTCATAGCGAGCTATTTATATTCTAAATATCAGTTTTCTAAGATTTCTCAATATAGACGATGTGGATGTGAATGTATTTCTTCTTCATCCACACCCTCACACCCTCAAGATAAAAGTGTAACTCAGATATATTTGTAGAAGGGTCAAAAAATTCTATTATTATTGATTTTATTGAATGCAGGGTGGATATGGGTATCTTTTCTTCATAAACATTCCAACATACACTCGCAACGAAAAGCGAAAAATAAACTATATAATCTTGATCGATGTGTATCATGAAAGATAGTTATAAAGTCATTCAGAGAAATAATCGTTACTTATTTTAAATCGTAACCTCTTGAAATACGCTATCATTAGTACGTGATCCAGAAGCTGAAGCTTGGATAGAAATATTATTGGTTAATACATGTGTTCCATCAGTATTCCAAATATTTTCATTGGCAAATCGAACTGTATAACGTACATCACTTTGTAAAGGTGTATTATTATCAGGTAAAATTAAAAGTAATTGCCAAATAGCCTGACTGATATTTGCTGGAATACGAAGTTTACGATCGATACTGATAATATTCGCTTCAGATGTCCATTTTCGAGGATCTACACTGAGATTCGTGCTGTACGTAATACGTGCACTACCTGTTTTGCCATTATCAAGTATTAATTTTACAGGTCTAGTTAAATGCATTGCTGAAAAGCCAATATTTTGTACTTTCAAAGAAAAAGATAATATTCCACCGGGTGCTACTTCTTTTGAATAGGAAAGAGTTTTTAGTTGAAAACGATAACCCAATTTACGTGTAAATTCTTCCTTTCCTGCAGTACCCCATGCATTATAAATCGGTTTATAATAATCTCGATGAAGATATGTCATATGTTGTTGTTTTGATTCTAAGATGGCATTTTGAGCCTTATTATATGCACTATTAGGAGTACCGAATGATTCACCACCGAAAAATGCATAGCGCGTCATTTGGCTAATATAAGCAAGTTCTTGAGCTCGTGACCATCCATAAGAAAAAGTACCTGCATCATCACTGCTGGCAAGGTAAGCATCATTGTGATAACCAGTACGTGCTTTCGGAGTGCCGCTATAAGCTTCAGTAGGCGAAAGAGGTATATTACTATTGAAGATTTGACGAATATAATATGGTGTACGAAGAAGGACTGAGCGTGTATTTGGTAATGCTGACATGTACGTGGTATGAACTTGTTGAAGTGCAGCAGTTTTAATGGGATAATAGAATTGTGTGTTAGTAGTGCTAAAATATGATGAATGCATTTCACCCCATGGCCCAAACATACCCATTTCGACAGCAACGATAATATCTTCATATTGATAATAAATTGGTTTCATATCCATAATATGGGTTTTAACAGTTTCAATGTTTTTTGGCTCTGGAGCAAGAACTGAATCCCAAGAATAAGCTGAACGCATGATAACTTTTAAACCTTGTTGACGACAAGTATTGAGTGCTGAACGAATTTCATTGAGTTTACTCTGTCCAATATGTAAACTATTCTTGTAAGCTGATATGTCAATTTTAATCAGAACTAATGATACTTTTTCAGCACTTTCGCGCAGACTATTAACTCCATAAAGATCATTCGAAAATCGATGTGTAATCCAACCTCGTTCAGGATTAGCAAAGAGTGTTTGGCTAGATGTAAATGTTTTCGTCACATTGGCTGGTTCATTCGCAAAAGTGCTATTCCATAAACTGATCATATATCCAAAAACTAAAAGAATCACTTGCCTATTCTTCATTATGTCTCACGTTAGCGCAAACTTTAATGATACTTCACAATCTTATGATCCTTTCAGAATAAGAAATAAGTTTATTTAAGCAAGAATCACATGAAATAGGCTCTGATTGTCACATCTAGGATTCTTTTCGATTTTTTTCTTATTTCGTATCGTATGAAAAAACAACAGAAGAGAATAAAACCAAGTCATTAAAAGAACTCTTTTTAATGCTCACATCGAACTGACGTATATCTTAGTAATACATTTACCGAATGGATGAAAACAAATGAGTATAAGTGTTCGAGTCATGAAATGTCTGTTTTTTTTTGTTAAATAGTTGTTTCTTTCCTATTTTTAATGGGAATATTCGTTGCTAATTGTTTTGATGGTGCATTTACATAAACAAATCGATGAATAACAGGTCGTTTTCGTTTTGCCATTTGCTTTTCTTCTCGAATTCTTCCTCGTTCTTCAGCGACTGGATTAATTCCAAAACAATATTATAATATATCCATGATTACAACAATCATTGCAATAATAATCATAGCAATTATTAAAATATAAGAAAATGATTTTGAAACCAATTTAAAAATAAGTATTTTCTTCAATGTTACTTCACAACGACGACCAGAATAATAATTATTACCAAGACATCCATATGTATAATTCAGCAATAATGGTTAACAAATGCCATTACCCTGACATGTCACATTTTTCAAATCACAATAATTAATCATTGAGTCACAATGAGTACCTTGCCAATCATCGTTACATTTACAATTAAATGTTGTAGGTGATGTTTTGAGGGTGTGGGTGTGGTGGAGTGTAGGTATACTGGAGTGTGGGTATGGGCGGGTGTGGGTGTGAGTTGGTCTGAATATGGATGTGAATTTTCCCTTCATCCAGATGTACATCCACACATCCAAACTGACACCCACACCCCACAATATTTTAGAAAAAAATATTTCGATATTGTTTATCGATTTTTTCTCATACTAAGTGTAAATTTAATTCATAAAATAGTTTTTACATTGACTATTTGTATTTACTAAAAATAATGACATGATAATGGGAAAAACAAAGTAGCATTATCATTAAAACATTGTTTTATGAAATCATTAAATAAATTAATTAGAAAATTAATACTGATGAACGAGCGTTGTATGAAAAGTTTTTTATTATTTGATAATATCGATACAGAATAACACATTATTGAACGAAGTAGAAATGTATTTAATTGACGGTGAACATTAAGTATATCAGATTCAATATAAATAAAGATATATTGATATTCTCTAGATGTTAATGAAATATTATCCTTCATTGAGTATTTGAACAAATTTTCCCACACCTTATAACGAAGTACCATCAAATCAGCTAGATCATTGGAAGCAGCTACGGATGAATATGTGTTTAATAAATTGAATACCTAAACAGTAAAACTTTTTAAATTTTGTTTTCTTTTTCGTTTGAAAGGTGAATATTTTTAGAAAGGATCTTATTAATATCATTGTTGCAAATATGATTCTTTATGACTACCCAGAACTGAAAAGATTACATTTGACAGATAGTTAACCAACATTTTCCCAGACGTATCGCAAAATTTCGGAGAAGGCAGCGCCTCTAGTGTCTCACTTATGGAAATTTATATTCGTCAAAGAACAAAAAATGAGAGTCGGCTAGATTTCTTTGTTTAAGAGGGTTCTGAGAATAGACGTTGGATTACAGTCCGAATGTTTTGGGTCCGATGATCTCTATTTGAGACATGACAATTTACAAGAAAATTTGGCATTCATATTAATGTTAAATAAAATAGATGAGAGGATTCATTTTTGGGAATATAACCTTCTTTGAATTATTTTATGTATTATTTAAAAGTAAAAACAAACATTTGAATGAATTCAATAGACGCTCTAATAATGAGTCTTAATAGGTCTTGTTTTTTAGGATTGATTCGACAGTCATATGATTAGAAAGAAGAATCTTGTAATGTCAAATAATGAAATCATCTCAGAAAAATTAACCGGATTGACGGAAAACGCCGACAAGAAAAATGCAGAATTGGAAAATGGCGAAGAAAAAGAGGAAAATATCGAAAACACTAATGTAGAAAGGGAAAACATAGAAAGTAGAAAACAATGGAAAAAATAGAAAATGCTGAAAATAAGCATTTTTTTAACCCTTTCGCGACGGAGCCCGTATATATACTGGCTGAGCTTTTTGACCACGTTAACCTTGTTATCATTGTGAAGGGAATCGACATTAAGACAACGCTTTCGTTCTCTTAGCTCACCGGTATGTTTACGTCATTGCTTGATATTGCTACATGTATACACATGTGCATTTTTTTGCGTTCTGCCAATGTATACACTGATTTTCCATAACGTTCTAGTATATTTGTACACATTCTCACTCTTTTTTTCTTTCTATGCCTCTTCCTATATAAATAAGTTGTCAATGAGAGAAGAAAAGAAACTTCTACCTTCAATTACGCTTTCTCACAGTATCAGATAGATTCCTATTCTTCTTGCATAAGCAATTAATCTTCATATCAATTACATATAGCTTCTGGTAAACATGACGACGTCCACATATAATGATATGCATGAGATTTATATGAACAGTGAATCCGAAAGTGATTCTTCAATGGAAATCGATGAAGTATATTCATCAGACCTAGATAGTAGTCAATCAGACGACGACTCGATACCAGCAGAACCGTCTATTATTCGCAGGTCGATCAAAACTGATTACAAGCCACATCTCTTTTCCTTTGATGAACGAAAGTCTGGCGTTTCATCAAACACAGATGTTATGAGATGTGATACTTCTCTAGACTTTTTCGAATTATTGTTTGATGAAAAATTGATCGATTTGATTATCATAGAAACAAACAAATATCAGGCGCATTCTAACGATGATAAAGTATATAATGCTAATTCGCATCAAGCAAAGTGGATACTGGCAAATAACTTCGAAATCTACATATTATTAGCTACAATTATGCTAATGTCGGTAACCAGAAAGAGCAAAATCTATGATTACTGGCCGACAGATCCTATGATTGCCACACCCATGTTCGGACAGCTGATTTCCACAGACAGATTTCTATCTCTTTTGCGGTATCTGCATTTTAACGATAACTCGAATCAAGTCGACGGTGACAGGCTGCATAAGATCAAACCAGTGATAGATGAGTTACGGAAAAAATTCAAACTGCTTGTACATCCATACAAAAATCTCTGTATCGACGTAAGTTTGATGCACTGGAAGGGTCGCCTAGTTTTCAAACAGTATATACCAACTAAACAGTGTCGATTTGGCGTGAAAAAATTCATCATTTGTGACTGTCGAACAAGAACTGTACTGGATTTTATTGTATGTACTGGTGCTTCTACAGAGCTATGATATGATCAAAATCTGGGAGTATCTGGTTCTGTAATAATGACTTTAATGGAACCATACTTGAACAAGGGTCATTTGCTTTTTCTCGACAACTGGGATACTAGCCCTCGTTTATTCGAAAAATTGTATGAACTCAAAACTGGTGCGTGTGGAACTATGCGTAAACATCGCATTGGATCATCGGCTTTCAGTAAACTTGCGCGAGGCGATTTCGACTATAGAAACACCGATAATCTGATGCTTCTGAAGGGGCAAGACAAACGTGAGGTCATTATATTATCTTCAATTCATGAGCCGCGCATGATACGAACACAAAAAGGAGATTGGAAGACTTCGAAAGCAATTGAAAAACCAGAATGTGTCGTACACTAAAACGAAAACAGGGGTACGGTTGATAAAGTTGACATGGAGATCAGTTTTGTACAATGTTCACAAAAAACTGTTAGGTGATACAAGAAATTTTTCTTTTACCTACTGGATTTATCAACAATGAATTCTTATACCTTATTCAAACTGAAGCATGGAAAAAATATATCGTTTAGCGATTTCCGTATTCAATTGATTCGACAACTCATTGAAAGATATGCTTAGCCTAAAAGATCGATTGGTCGTCCAACTATTGAAGACAACCCTCTACGTCTCACTGCTCGTCATTTTCCATCTCTAGTTCCAGCAACAGCTGCTAAAAAAACTGCACAGAGATATTGTGTAGTCTGTAGTCATACTAGTCGTCGAGAGAGGAAGCGTATCGATACTCGTTATCAGTGTGATATTTGTGATGTTGGTCTATGTGTTGTAGGATGTTTTGAAGAATATCATCCTGTAAAACATTTCTGAATGTTTTTCCATTGAAATAAAATCTATATCAGAACTTTTCTAGAATACGCTTTTTCTCGCTTTTTTCTAAAAATAAACCCCGTCGCCAAAGGGTTAAGCACGAAACGTGAAAATGAGTGATTTTTGGGTGCACCCTCGGCGAAAATCGCTCTTACTGTCCTACAATTTTAAATAGATAAAAATAATATAGTACAACTATTTTGTAGCTGAGACTTCCCTCTTTTTTATCATATAAATTGACCCTAAGTTCGTTTATGATTCTCTGATAAAATCTTGCAAATACGAGCTGAACATACACGTGGACCAGTTTACGTCCCCACAGATTATATTCAATCGCCTGAAACTAATGCAAAAGCAAATGTCCATCTGTTTTCACTTTTCGATAGAGTAAAGAGCGAGAAATCGTTTGATAAAAAATTTTCTTGCTAACGACCTTATAGATCAAATAAAAAACTAAAATTAAGACGACAGGGGTATTCTTTTTTTACTAAATGTCTCGACAGATTTTAGATTTTGTTTCTTTGATTTCTCCGTAGTTGTGAGAGCTCAGACCACGATTGTTTTTATTCTTTTTAGCTGAATATATGTTAAACCTGTGGTAAAAGTTTCAGGCCTTAATCATGTGCTGTTCGTGAGAAAATAGTACTTTACTTGAAAAATGTCCCGACAGATTTTTTTTGGTTCCAAATGTCCCAACAGATTAAACTCAATCTACTAAAGCTGATATTAATAGTAAATTCAGATTTTCTTTTTCTGTTTAAGAGTGTCAAGCGAGAGAAATCTTTTGATATAAAAACTTTTTTCTAGGAGCCGTATGAATGAAATAAAGGATTAAAATTAAGATAGTAAGGGTCATGCTGATGGTGTCACGCGCACGTTTAAGCTTTTTTTATAGGCATATATTAGGTTGGTAACAAAGTTTTTGCGTTTTTTTCCAAAATTTTATTTTTATTTTTTAACTTCAACTGTGGTAACCATTTAAGGGAAATAACGAGTTAAGGGAAAATATGGACAACATCGTAGAGGCACATGAAATCGAATAATGGAAAATTCGTATTGACTAAAAAAATCTGAATGCATCTTACTATGTTAAATTTATCTTAAAATTATGCCAAAAATTTATGAAAAAATACTAAATTGAAAGAAAATATTTCTACAATTTCATGTGTAGTCTAATTGCCATGCGTGTTGAGCAGTTTTGATCGGATTCGTTCACCCTATAAGTTGAGTTATCCTATAAGACCGTCCAGTTATTTTGATGGAAACACTTAACTAAACAGTTATTCGAATGATTCTCTGTAATAATATAATTCAGTTCAAGGCGAAACGTCTTAAACGAGTAGGATAGAGCTGTTTTGTTGATTCTCTTCTAAAATGAGACGGTTTGGTTTTTCGCATGAGTTTTTTAATTGATTACTAAAAAGCTGTTGTAAAATCAAATGAATTAGCTAATGTAACAAGTTGAACGCTGAAATCCGTTCTTCTAAACTTAAGTCGCACTGCATATTTGTTTTCACAAAACACTTAGCATTGATATTATACCAATTAGTGTACAGATTTGGATAAAACAAAACGAAATACAACTTTTAAATTTAATATCACAAGCCTCAAATTTGAAAAAAATGCAATAGAAACACAACGAATACTAAAATCTGTATTTTGAAAACATCTATTCTCTATTGACGGCTAGTTTTTGGTGCTAACTCTATGTGCCATCGCGCAATTTCATATGCCTCTACAATGGTATCCATATTTTCCCTTAACTCGTTGGATTCCCTTAAACGGTTACCACATTCAACAATACAACTAGCTTTCAGTTATATATGCACCACTACTATCTATGACTTGTCGCCAACGCTCTGGCAGATATAAGATCCCGCGTTCGTAGAAGTCCTTCGACTTTTGACCAAAGAAGTTGGCGATATCCATTTTTACGTCGTTCTCGTCGTCGAACTTTTTCTCACGCAAATGATGAGAAAGAGAACGAAACAAATGGTAGTCCGTTGGTGCCAAGTCAGGAGAATAAGGTGGATGAGGAACGGTAATCCAACCGAGCTTCAATAATTTTTCGGAGGTCGACTTTGCAACATGGGGTCGGGCATTGTCATGCAAATAGTAAATTCTATCCTGCTTTCCCTTGAGTTTTTCAGCAACCCGGTCCAATTGTTGACAATAGAGATCAGCAGTGATGGTACAACCATTTGGAAGAACTTCCCAGTGAATAATCCCATTGACGCCCCACCAAACGCTCAGCATCACCTTCTTGGGATACAAATCAGGCTTAGGTGTTGCTACGCCTGTCTGACCAGCGCCAAGCCACTGGCGTCTGTGCGTGTAGTTAATGTATAACACCCACTTTTCATCACCAGTGATAAGATTACGGAGCCATTGGTAGTTGCGGTGAGATGTCATTAAATCCATACAAGCATCAACCCGGTGTTGTAGCTGATGTGGTGATAACTCGTGGAGTATCCAAACCCCATATTTCCATGTCTTGCCTAATTCGTTCAGATGTTTTTCCACTGCAGCATGAGAGCACCCAAGCTGCTCTGCTAAGTACCGTGAAGTCAATCGAGGATCTTCTTCGATAAGCTGCTTTAAGAGATCCACATCCACTTCCGATGGTCTACCGGACCGGGGTAAATCGTCGAGTTCTAAATTACCGTTCTTAAAGCGATTAAACCAATGTTGTGCCGTACGAGTAGAGAGTACATCCTTCCCCATCGTACTGCATATGTTGTTGGCTGCTTCCGTTGCTTTGTGACCAAGACGGAATTCATGAAGTAAAAGCACTCGAATCTCTCTACGAGAAAGATTCATTTTCAGTTCATGATCAGCGTCCATATCGATGGCTTTATTATCATTCGAAAGATATTCACTCTCCCTTTATATACCCTTAGTATGGAAACTTCTAGAACTTTCTCGAATGTTTTAGAAAATTTTGGAAAAAAACGCAAAAACTTTGTTACCAACCTAATATATGTGTTGATAAAGTTCTACATACGCTTCTTCGATTCTTCTTTTCACAGGCTTTCGATTGATATATAATAACAATATACTAGTTGTTTTTACAGGATTTCTTTTGTGAAAATACTTCTAAAATTATTTATCTTATTATGTTAAGAAATCTGGAGAAATTTGCATTTTTAATATAAAATTGATTTTTTTCTGAAACCAAGAGCTTGACAGCTGGGAAAATATCTGATTTACATTCAATCAATGAAGCTCTATCCAATGCACAATTCAATTATCCTTCAGTCACATTTTTTTTCGATTTTTTTCTTCAAACCGTACAATGCCAACGCAACTCACTCATATGTCTATTCGAACTATTTTACCCTACAACAAAAGAAAGACATGTATGGTTTCCGTCAACGAAATTTGGATGCATGAAAGGATAGCAATTTTTTTCGCCGAGCTTTTTTGCACAGGAGTAAATCAAAGCGTCACGTGTTTGTAAAAGAAAGAAAAAAACAAATTCAGTCGATTGTTTGTCATGTAAATTTATTCGTCGTCACACAGTCGACATTTCTTACATTGTAGACATCTTTCTGACACCATAGTTTCCGAGTGAATTTGTGGGCTGATTCAATGGCACAGTCAACATCGATTCAACTTGTCTGGCTCGATGCTAACATTCATAGAGATATAAATAGAGAATTTTGGACGAAAATCCGTGAAATTTATCCTGAAGCAATGAAATTTGATGACCAAGATGAATGTTTACGATTTTTAGGATCCGGTGTAGATGATCCAAGGCGATTTATCTTAATTGTGAGCGGTATTATCGCTGAAAAATTAGTGCCTGATATACAACGGTGCGAAAATATCTTGTCCATTTATGTTTATTGTGCAAACATATCCAAGCATGAGGGGTGGTCAAGGCAATATGAAAAAGTAGAAAAGTAATGATATTATGTTTTTTATATGTTCATTATCAATATAGGTCACCGTCCTTACTTCAGCTGAAGAAGTGTTGAGAGGAATCAAGTCCGATCAAAAGCGTTTTCGGTAGAAACAAAGTGGGGGTCTACGAAGCATTCAATAAATTTCCAATAATCCAGTCTATGATAATCGAGCACTGATGGAAAATACTTTCTACATTTCTGCCTAATAAATAAAAGAAAGAACTATGCGTTTGAAGAACATTCTGTAATCATAATATGATTTGTATGATAATGAAAGATGATGATCCGAGGATATTTCGAGAAAGATCTCCTCACTTTGAAGTCGATGTGTTAGACAAATCTGACGATTCTTGAGTTAATTATTCACGAAAGGAAATCTTCTAGGTTGTGTGGGTGGGTGTGGACTCTTGTGGGTATGGGTTATAACAAGAGTAAGAATGACACCCACACCTACATCCTCAAATCATCGATCGATCGATATATATATATATATGTATATCGATGGTGAATGAGAAAACAAAAATAGAAAGGAAACTAAGGCTCCGAACAAACTGACTAATTCAAAGTGAATTAAGAAATACGAGTGGTCTTTTTGCATAACAACGCGAGCGGTGCAGGGTGTCCGAAAAATCACTGACCAAAATTTTTTTCATATATCTTTGCTATTTCATTTAACATTACCAACAATATTTTTTAAAATTATAGATAAATATACCGAGTTTTTATTTATCCGAGCGACTTTCGATACTAACCTGCAAAACTACTATCTTTGATCGAAATACAACAATTTTGCTATTTTTGTGTGATGTGAGTAGTTCAAAGTTTGATGATGTTTTTTTCTTAGATATTTTCATATAGTTAGATAGAGCGCTACTACAGAAAGACCAAACAATTAAAGAAAAAACGTTACATAAAGTCCTACTCGCATCTCACAAACATAGCAAAATTTTTGTATTTCGATCAAACATAATAGTTTTGCAGGTTAGTATCGAAAGTCGCTTGGATAAATAAAAACTCGGTATATTCATCTATAATTTAAAAAAGAATTGTTGATAATGTTAAATGAAACAGCAAAGATATATGAAAAAACATTTGGACAGTGATTTTCCGAACACCCTGAATTGGTTAATTCAATTTTATCGTGTTCAATCTGTTCGGGACCCAATAGAGGCTATTAGAAGTATAGATGTCATTCCTAACAAATCATTTAAATATATTAAATAAAAGTAAAAAGAAAAAGAAATAGTAGATTTATTTAGAGCACTTTGTTTATTTTCAAGTAATAAGTTATGCTTAATTCGACTGAATTCTCATGCAAACTATGATCACAATTCTAAACTAGATCTAAAAATAACTGATGACAGATTGTTATGACTAAATTCAAATAATAAAATAAATACATATACATAATATTCATGTTGACAAATGATAAATGATGAATCAACACCAATGAAAAAATGTTTGACTTAGTAAAAGGTAACTTTTGGGCAAGTAATATTTGAGTTCTTAAAGATTTTTTATTTTAGTTGATTAGCAAAAAGTTTAGACTAGTTCTCTTTGTCAATTTAAAGTGTGCAATCAGGATTATAATTTTATACAGTATTTTTATGATAAACTGTGAAGCACAAATTGACTGACAATCACTTCGAGTCAATTAATTATACAATTCTTACAATGTTTCGAATAGAAGTATATCATCATCAGGGTAAATTCTTAAAGTATATCTTGTATATAACTGTTTGGACGTTTTTTTTGGAAAAAAAAGGTTATATTAATCGATACAAGATAAAACAAGCTTGTTAATATGTAAAACAAATCTTTATTAGAAAAAATGTAAAAGATTTGCACAACTATAAATATGAACTGATTGATTCTGTTTCCACGTTAATCCTTACTGATGCTGTATGAATATTGCAGATCAAGCGACTGATAAACAATATCTAGTGTGTAACAATAAATTTTTTTCTTTCGACCACAATATTATATTCCTTGTATATTCAATGGAACTAATAAATAAAAAAAATATTATAGAAATAAGTTACGAAAATAAAATACCTTTTATTATTTATCCTTGCTTTGACTGGTAGAAGGTATAGATATTTGTGTATGTGAAAGGGATTCCGTACTTGATTGATATTCAGTTGTGTCATACAAAAACCAAAAGAATTCTCTTGTGCTCTTCTCATGATAGTAGCAAGTTTTTCTACAGTTATGTATCTACACAAGAATTCTCTATACAATGATTGGTTGAGTGTGGGGTGAGGATGTGGGTGTGGGTAGGGTGTGGGGTGTGGGTGTGGGGTGAGGGTGTGGGGTGTGGGGTGTGGGTGTGGATGTTGGTGTGGGTAGGGTGTGGGTGTGGGTGTGGGGGTGGGTGCGGGTGTGGATGTGGAGGTGGGTGTGGATGAAGAGGGC